TAAAACAAAAACAATTTTATTCTTGGGATTACGTAATCATTGGGGGGAGGGGGTGTTTATTGAATGATTACGTTTGATCTCCAGGGGGGGGGGTCAAAAATCACCAAAAACGTGATTACGTAATATATGGACCCTTACAAACTAACGAAATTTAGCTATTTTTAGCTTTTTTCCCGCTAAAGTAGCGGGTTTTTCCAAAAGTCGTAGAACCTAAAATACAGTTTGGATACGCACATACTAAATTCAATGCTCAGGAAGCGTTAGTTGTTCTGAGCTGGCAAAAGTGGCTATTTTCGTTTCTTAATAACTGTTAAACGTGATTTTTTACAGTAACATAATATATACAAAAATTTAAGGAATCTCAAGGGCTATACAGTTTGAAGTTTTAAAAAAAATCGTTAGAGCCATTTTTAAGAAAAAAAAGAGATAAAAAAAAGTTTAAAAAATTTTTGTTTTGTGCATATCTTTTAAATTATTACATTTACACAAATTAATTATAAAAGGCGCCTGAAGCATTTTAAAATACCTTTCAAACGAGATACAGAACAAGTCTGTAGCAGTAGTTTTGAAGTTACGGCCGTATTTTAACTATTTATAGCTGTTTTCCCGCTAAACTAGCGGGTTTTTCCAAAAGTAGAACTAAAGTTTCTTATATCGAGCTGTTGAACATCATATCAAATTTTCAGGACTTTAAAACCTTGTTTTGGTACACACATACAAACTGACAAACAGAATTAAATTTTCATTTTCAATTTGCCCCCGCAAATTGGTTTTCTGTATAACTTTTGAACGGAGCGTCCAATTTTCTGATATGACCCCTCATATTAAGCGCATTTTCAGTAGGAATACAACTAACGTAGTGCGAGGGGCCAATTACCCCCACTGACCCCAACAGATCCACATTTCTAAATTTTCACTTTTACACTTTCACCGCTCTCTCTCCCAAGCCAATTGACTTTCTTCAGGTCTTGGTATGCAATACTTTAAGTTTTAGCAATACCTTTAGTTTGGTGTATTACTCATTACGATCGGACTATCACAGCAGATTTTCAATTTTGCGGTCGCCTTCGCAAACTCTTCTGGTGCGCTTTCGTCTCCTTGTGATTTTATGTAAATGTTTTAAAAATCAAAGCGTATTTCCGTAATTAGATATTCTCTCCCCGATTTAAAGACAAAATCGGCTTGTTTTGAGAATTTAATTCTTAGGTATGAATTTAAATGTTTTCAAAATCGAATCGTATTTTGACATATATGTATGTATGCACGTTTTTCTCAGTATATAATAACAATTATTAATTTCAAAATTTTTCTTCGATTTAACAAAATTTGCTTGATCTTATATTATAAAATTATTGTCAACCAATATTGTCTACTTAAGTCTAGCGCCAATTGCATTTTATTTTAATCAATATTGGTACTCGTTAAGGGGGGATATACATATAGAACTGCAACAAGGGTTTGTGCTGGAATTTCGCAACATGGCATGTTGATTACATAGTTCTTATATAATTTTAACCAATTTTAATTTTTTTTTATCTTTTAAAATGGCGGCCGTGGGATTTTTTTGTCAATCCTTATTTAAAAAAAGTAGGCCAGCTGCGGATCGTCCACAGGTAGCTGTGCAGATCCGATTTTTATGAAACCAAAATTATTTTGTGAAGAAATAATGTAGAAACTGTCTGAACCTAACTTACATAGAATATCTCAAAAACTATGGGTGTGGCACTCTTTTAAAGTTAAAAATCTATTTTTTTCATAATTTTTTTGTTGTTTTTAGCTATCAAAAAATACTTAAACGTACAAATTTCTACATTAAGTAGGTTCAGACAGTGGCCAATTTTATTACAAACATTTCTGTAAAAGCAGCATGATGATCGAGGCTTTATTTAAAGAGTTATACTACCAATTTAAATAATAAAAAAAAATGATTTTTTTTTGTTTTCTATATGTAATTCCACCTTTAAGTAAATTAATTAGTACTTTTGTACTAACAAATGACTCTTGCGCACTTAGCACCTAGTGCACCTAGCGCGTTAAAAAACAAATTTGCCTAATTTTTCGATTTTTAACGCGCTAGGTGTACGTCTTCGCAAAAGTCATTTGTCAATTTAGTTCCTTGGGTTCATAGCTACATAATCACTGAAGACTTGATAGTGAAATTTTAATCGGTTCACAAGATATGGCCGTTACAAATAAATTTTGTATGTAAAACTTTAACTCGCTATAAAAGGTAAACGCGAGCTTAGCCAGAGAAACCCAAATGGGTTTTAGCTTATTTCGATGAGTTCTTTCCGCCCATGAAATCAGAATTGCGGTTACATTTTTCATGTTGCACTGTGTAATTTATTTAAAAACAAGAAAGGAAGCTACCTTCGGCCAGCCGAAGCTTATATACCCTTGTAGATAAAAGAATACTCACTCGGTGCAGTTCCAGGGATTCCAGATTCAGCGTTTCGATTTATTTCAATTTTGTTTTTAAGTAGTCAAGAATCAAAACGCCTACTTCCTACAAAGTTACAATGAATTTTCTTATATTTGATTGGGAGCCTTAAGATATAGTGGTCCGATCCGGCTGGCTCCGACATATGTACTACCTGCAATAGAAAGAAGACCTTCGGGAAAGTTTCATCGCGATAGCTTTAAAACTGAGAGACTAGTTCGCATAGAAACGGACAGACGGACAGACGGACAGACGGACAGACGGACATGGCTAGATAGACTCGGCTATTGGTGCTGATCAAGAATATATATACTTTATGTGGTCGGAAACGTCTCCTTCACTGCGTTGCAAACATCTGACTGAAATTATAATACCCTCTACAAGGGTATAAAAATAATTTTTCTTGGTAAGCACAAACATTCTTAATGTTTAGTAATCACATTATCACATCACATTAGTACTTAATTTCAGAAAATTAGATGGTGGATGGAGCTCTGTGAGAAGACCCTATAAGCCTAGTACTCAGTACGACGACAACTGCTAGCTAATAGGGTCTTCTCACAGAGCTCCATCCACCATCTAACTTCCGTTGAACGGATGGTCAGTGAGGTTTTGCCGTGCCGAAAATTTCCCAGTTAGTCCGCCATCCAATTTTGACGGACTTTGACGGGCTCTGTTATGCGATAGTTAGGCGATGGTTTCTCGGTGCAACTCTGAATGCTTCCTCTTCACTGTAAAAATTGGAACGATGACTGCGAGAACAAATCAAATCGATGGCGGGAAAAAATTAAATAATGCTTCAGCTCATTGTTTTTATACCCTTGCAGAGGGTATTATGATTTCAGTCAGAAGTTTGCAACGCAGTGAAGGAGACGTTTCCGACCCCATAAAGTATATATATTCTTGATCAGCATCACTAGACGACTCGATCTAGCCATGTCCGTCTGTCCGTCCGTCTGTGATCAGGACAGTTTTCCCGAATTGAAATCCCCCTTCGTTAATGTTGAGCTGAGCAACTGCTCTTTAGTCAGCTGTTATTGGATGGTAGCTGGTGGATGGAGTTCTGTGGGAACACGAGTTTCACATTCGTTAAAAATCCCAACCTTTTCAAACGGATGGACTCTATGGGAAGAGGCTATTAGCATAGGAGTAATATCAAATAATATCGAAAAATAAACTATCGACATTTTTATATTTGGCTAAAAAATATCACGATATATGTGTACTTTTTTGCAAAAATATCGATATATTGATATTTTTATATATATTTGACGTCCCTACTTAAGAGCTAGTACTCCACCCAAGAAACAAGAACTTCATTTTAAATAAAATTTATTGACGTTGTTATTATATGAAGTTTCTTGTTTTGGATGACTAGCTTTAAAACTGAAATATAAAAATGTGGAAGTGATTACAAAAACTCCACAGCACCTTCCCAACAAAAGTTGTAACAAAGAAAACGAACATTTTTGTAATTTGACTCCTAGAATCTGCATGCAAAATGTCAATCTTCTAGCTTTTATAGATTCCGAGATCTCAGCTTTCATACGGACGGACAGACAGACAGACGGACAGACGGACATGGCTATATCGACTCGGCTAGTGACCCTGATCAATAATATATATACTTTATAGGGTCGGAAATGCTTCCTTCTAGCTGTTACATACTTTTGCACGAATCTAATATACCCTTTTACTTTACGAGTAACGGGTATAAAAATCTGTATGTGGTGCGACCTGTGAATTTTTATGTGTATTTTGTAGTCCAATTAAGGGCTAACAAGAACTCGCAGCTATTGCAGGCCATCCACAGTCGAATTTGTTCGGCAAATACATATATTTGTGTATTTCATCGAAATTTGTTTGACGTTGGCTGCGTTCAGCAGAACAACATGATCACTGATCACTAATGGATTTCTTACTATAGTTCTGCTGAAGAATTTTGCACCAGTGATCAGTGATCAGGTAGCGAAAAAAAAGTACGCTACCTTTTCTTGATACATGATGCATGACTTCTGGCATGTATCGATAGTCGAAATATCGAAACTTATTAACAAAATAATTTTAAAAAACCATAAATTCGGTGGAATTCTTTATAATTGTTCAGCCATTTGTGATTTTTATGTATCCACGATAGCTGTGCTGCAGTTGCGGGGGCGGGAAAAATATATATTTTCAAATTGCGCGCGCAATATTTGTTATATATTTTACTATTACGTCGTCGAAATGTATCATGAGCGTTCAGCAGAACAAACTTGATTACTGATTACTGATCCATCAGTGATCAGTGATCATGTTGTTCTGCTGAACGCAGCCGTTGTGTTCGACAAAGATATAAACGATTCTATCTTGCCTGGTTTGTCGAGCAAGTTCGACTGTGGATGGCCTCCTTAAGTCAATAATACAAATAGGGTATTGCATAAACTGTTTACAATTAATTTGCATTTTTCAGCAAATGGTTCCTAATGAATCTATAAAATACAACTACACTAGTCAAATTTTGCAAAACGGAAAATGTTTTTTATCTAAAACTATTAGTAAGGTCTGTCTATCGATATATCGATAGATCGCCCTGCCACCGCTATTTAGTATACGTGGATTTTTAAGACAACTTTCTCGGCCAAACACACAAAAAAAGTAGATCCCTATGAGAAGCGTCAACTGAACCGGCCCAGAATTCCCCTGCTAGCCAACAAACGGTGTTTGCCAGCGGTCTTCCCAATTAGATGTGCCTGCTTCGCAGTCAGAGCTGAAAAACCCGAGTGCACACAGCCCCCTGTCCCTGCCCTTTGTCCGGTCGATTGTGATATATTATTGATAATGGCTCACACACGCCGTCCCAGCGACGGCCTATTGGCCCGTGTGAACTTTCCGCTTTACGCCGTGGACATGCTGACCAGCCGCCACATCTTGGTTGCCGGAGGCGGTGGCTCCAGTAAGACGGGAGTGGCGAACGGCTTTGTATGATATGCCAGCAACTGGCGTTCCTGATGTCGGCGGTTCTAATGTCCGACTTATCCTTCTAGGAGATCTACGAGCTGTACCACAACGGCAGCCACTTCTGCGCGGAGGAGGTGCTGCGCCACGAGACCGGCTCCAATGTGGTGATGAACTTCGCGGTGCGCAACGGCAGCCGTAGGGGCTACTTGTGCGCCGGCCAGGAGGCGCACTGCCAGATGTACTACGTCCAGCCCCGCGTTCAGTCTGAGGATAATGGGAACGGAAACGGAGTTGGCGACGGAAAGCCGTCGCCGGCAGAGCGGCCCCACGAGAACGGCAGTGTGCGACAGCGAAACGCGCACTCGGGTGTAGAGCCAGTGACCAATGGGCAGAAGCCACCGCTCTCCACCGCCGACATATTGCGCCAATTCCAGCGGCTGCAGTTTGACATCCAGACGGCGGATGTGGTGCAGACGGACTTCCTCAAGGGCGCCGAGCCTCTCCAACGGGTGGTGCGCATCAGTGGTAACGGTCGTCTGATGGCCACTGGCGGAACGGACGGAAAGCTGCGGGTTTGGACTTTTCCCCAGATGACCTTGTCCACCGAGTTGGCAGCGCACAGCAAGGAAATCGACGACCTTGACTTCAGCCCTGACAGCAAGGTCATCGCCAGCATCTCAAAGGATGCCCAGGGCTTAGTATGGGACCTCGCCAGTGGCCAGCTGCAACACAAGCTGGAGTGGAAAACGCCAGATGGGACCAAGTACCTGTTCAAGCGGTGCCGTTATGGGACCGTGGAAGCGCAGAAGGACCACTACCGTCTCTTTACCATAGCGAATCCACTGGGTAAGGTGGGCAGGCAGCGTGGGTTCTTGCAGCACTGGGATTGTACGAACGGGAAACTGCGCCAGGCCGTTGCGATCGACGAAAGCCTGTCGTCACTGGCGGTGCGGGACGACGGTCGGTTCGTGGCCGTTGGCATGATGTTCTCGGGAAGCGTCTCTATGTATATAGCATTCAGTCTGCAGGTAAGCTTAAGAAACAAATGTTGTGGTGACAAACAAACCAAAGGTCTGCTTGTGTCCCACTAAAATGCGCTTAAAACAGCGGTCGGCACAAACATACAATGATAATTTGTTTTATATTTGCGTAAGTAAAGTGCACGTTGCAGCTCATCAGTGTGTGTGTGCAGACAGCTATTCCACAGTGTACGGTAGTGGCAGAGGATGGGCAGAACAATTCCCTTTGCTCACTTAATAGGACCCTGCAGACCGCTGATTTAAACATACGTCGCCTGAGTTAGCTAAACTGCATTGCTACTCTGTAATATTCATTCCTACTTCCCTTTTGCAGCGCGTGCTCCACATTCCCCATGCACACTCCATGTTTGTAACGGGTCTTCAGTTCCTGCCTATAACAAACGAGGAGGGACCGCCCATCTCCAGCGACACGGAGGCAGCCGTTCTATCTATTTCCGTGGACAACAAAGTCTGCATCCATAGTCTGCCCCAAAGGCGTAAGCAATAACAAGTAAATTTTAAAATGATTTTATTAGCACCTTTTTTCAGGTACTATCCCCGCCTGGATTGCCATAGCCTTTTTGATCGCCATGATTTTCGTCGTGTTTGTGCTGTGCTCCTACATGGGCATCTGATGTTCAAAGGTCCAAGGAGAGTTCATCAATTTGCATTATTAGTTTGTAAACACGGGTTTGTTTATCGACAGGCCACAACTCTCTTCTACACTCCACCACGTCCCACCCCCTCATGTTAATTATTTTAAGTGTATAGTTTATTCCGCCTGCCTTATTTCTAATACTTATTGCAATGTTCGCTTAGTTATATCATAATTTGTTTATACCTGTAGCCTCGTAACTGAAAAGTATCTTCTCGGAGAGCTTTGTCAGTTGTAAATGATTTTTTTAATTAATTGGTATTTAATTAAATTATATAAAGCAAACAAGTAAATGGAATGAAGAAGAAATATAAATTCATAATCAGACTTTTTGTAAATCAAACTGTGGTGGGCCTATGACACCAATTTTATAGTCAGGGAAATGATATAAAAATCTATAAAGCAATGAAATTTCGATGTTAAATTCGTTTTAATGAAATTTTAACAATAATTCTGTGAAATAGTAGAAAAACGTACTTATTCTTAAGGTTCTTTAATTCCGTGGCTTGGATTATTGTATTAATCATTATTGAGTATAGGGTCCCTTTTTACTTAACACTACCCCTTGAGATTATCCAGTGGCTAATTTATTTATATAAAGTTGAAAAAGTACAGACTGTAAGTCATCTGGTAACTATTAGCACTAGCGAGTAGCTGTCGTCAAGCTGCAATAAAAATATTAGCAGAACTTTTGTATGTTGAAGGTGCGATCGTCACTAGTTTTTTACCTCGTTAAGAGGTCTTTTTATTTGATATCAGAAGTTTTTGCTCTCACAGGAGCTAATATATACATTTAAATTTAAATTGTTCAACCATAATTTTTTAACCTTTGGATTTGAACGATGTAAGTTAAAAAATTCTTAAAGTATTTCAAAATACTTTTAAACGAGGTATAGCACATGTCTGTAGCTTTAGTAGTTCAGCAGTTACGAAATTTAGCTATTTGTAGCTTTTCCCCCTGAAGTAGCTGGTTTTTCCAAAAGTCCTAAAACAAAAGTTTCCTATATTCCCATATCCTATATTCCTATATGGAACCTGTTACTCGTAGAGTACAAGGGTATATTGTGTTCGTGCAAAAGTATGTAACAGCTAGAAGGAAGTATTTCCGACCCTATAAAGTATATATATTCTTGATCAGGGTCACTAGCCGAGTCGATATGGCCATGTCCGTCTGTCTGTCTGTGTGTCTGTCTGTCCGTCCGTATGAACGCTGAGATCTCGGAAACTATAAAAGCTAGAAGATTGACATTTTGCATGCACATTCTAGGAGTTCCTAAGCAACGCAAGTTTGTTTCAAAAGGGTGCCACGCTCCCTTTAACGCCCACAATCGCTTATATACGATTTTAAAAATTTCGTAAAAGTAAAAATGCAGTTTTATTGTGTTTATCAATACCTATCGAAATGTAGAAGAAATTTTTTAATCGGACCATTCGTTAAAAAGTTACGTCTGATCAAAGGTTTTATCTTCATCTCCTTCGCACTCCCTTTAGCTGAGTAACGGGTTTCTAATAGTCGGGGAACCCGACTATAGCGTTCTCTTTTGTTTTTGAATAACTTTTGAACCTGACTTTTTACAATATCGTGATATATACTAAAATTTAAGGAATCTCAAGGGATGTATACAAGGTGAGTTCCAAAGTAAACAGGACTTTCAAAAAAACAAGAAATAGTTTTTTTGGCAAAATCAATTTATTTTATTCAAAATAGTCTCCTGCTTTAATACAGCGTTTTGCACGGTCCAAAAGCATGTCGAACGAGTGTGTGCAAGCCTTTTGAATGGCCTCTACGTCTGCATAACGCTTTCCTTTCATCGGCAACTGCATTTTTCCGAAAAGGTACGGTGCCATGTCAGGTGAATACGGGGAGCGCACAGTGGTCGGGCTTGTATGGATAAATGGATCAGAATTTAAAAGCAATCTGTTAAATAAATCTGTGTTTGCAGTCGAATTATTAAATATCCTTAATTTTTTTCAATAAAAAACCAACCAAAAGGCAACAAAAAAAAAAACAGGAAAAACCAACTACAACGACAACACACACAGGACAAAAAAGAGCTTCCTCCTAGATGGACCTGCTAAAATAAATGAGGTTAGGTTGGACTTTTTAATGGCACAAGTGCATCGGCACGATTCGGCAGTTGATGAAAACATTTTTAAAACCTTGAAATATTAATAAATAGCAGGATATAAACGGCATAGCGTCATAATTCCGCGGACATAATTCCGCGCAGTACATTTGGTCCGCGAACTTATGTCGTTTTTTTCTGGCGAAATTATGTCGCTGCTAAACGTCATAGGATCGCGCGAAATTGTGTCGTTTAAAAATTACTTGTGGCGAACTTATGTCGTTTTAAAGTGACATAAGTCCGCCGCAGAAAAAACAACATAATTTCGCCAGCCGCGGAATTATGTCGCTGCTAAACGACATAAGTTCTCGCGAAATTATGACGTTTAAAAACTACTTATGGCGAACTTATGTCGTTTTAAAGTGACATAAGTCCGCCGAGGAAAAAACGACATAATTTCGCTCACCGCGAAATTATGTCACTGTCAAACGACATAAGTTCGCGCGAAATAATGTCGTATTAAAATGAGTATACCAAACATATATAGGTATATATATATGTAGGTATATATATACATATGTAGGTATATATATACATATGTAGGTATATATATACATATATATGTAGGTATATATACGGTGCATGTTAAGTTACATACATACATATGTATGTATACACGAAAAATATGTATACACATATGTACATATGTAAATAAATATATACATACATACATACATATGCCGGCGAAATTAAGTCGATTTTCTGCCGCGAACTTATGTCACTTTAAAGCGTCATAAGTTCGCCATATCAAATTTAGAGACGACATTATTTCGCGCGATCTTATGACGTTTAAGCCTAGTACTCAGTACGACGAAAACTGCTAGCTAAGCATAGGAGTAAGCGAGAGGCAAATAGGTAGCTAAAGCCCTTAGCCGGGGACTTTTTCCCACCTCGGTACTCAGTTGAGCTAAGGAAATAGTAAGAAAATACCACTAAAATACTAGATTAAGCGGATGAATTCTGATGAACGCCTTTAGCCGCGGCCCAAAGAATAAAAAATTTGATCTTTGGCTGTGTTTGTGCAGAAGCGGTGTGCCAATAACATATTATAAATAGAATGAAAACCCCAAAAACCAATGGAAAACTGCCTGTAGGAGTTGCAGCAATACATATCCTCATTCCAACAGCAAATTTAAAGCTTGCGACCTAGGTCGGCTAATCATTTTGTAATATTTCAAAATTGGCGCCAGTTAATTTGCTTGCTGAGAGTAAGACCATTCTACATGCATTGCGGATGAACTCCGAAAACTTCGGTCACCCTAAAATAATAATATTTTTCGACTAGTAAAACTCTTAGCCGAACTGAGTACTAGGCTTTAGCAGGGACTTAATTTCGCGGCTGGCGAAACTATGTCGTTTATTCCTCGGCGGACTTATGTCACTTTAAAATGACATAAGTCCGCCACAAGTAGTTTTTAAACGCCATAAGTTCGCGCGAACTTATGTCCCTTAAGCCTAGTACTCAGTACGACGAAAACTGCTAGCTAAGCATAGGAGTAAGCGAGAGGCAAATAGGTTGCTAAAGCCTTTAGCCGGGGACTTTTTTCACCGCGGTACTCAGTTGAGCTAAGGAAATGGTAAGGAAATACCAAAAAAATACTAGATTTAGCGGATGAATTCCGATGAACGCCTTTAGCCGCGGCCCAAAGAATAAAAAATTTGATCTTTGGCTGTGTTTGTGCAGAAGCGGTTTGCCAATAACAATGTATAAATGGAAGGAAAACCACAAAAACCAATGGAAAACTGCCTGTAGGAGTTGCTGCAATACATATCGCCATTCCAACAGGGAATTTAAAGCTTGCGACCCAGGTCGGATCAACGTTTTGTAATCTTTTAAAATTGGCGGCAGTTGATTTGTTTGCTGAGAGTAAGACCATGCTACATGCATTGCGGATGAACTCCGAAAACTTCGGTCACTCTAAAATATTAATATTTTTCGACTAGTAAAACTCTTAGCCGAACTGAGTACTAGGCTTTAGCAGCGACATAATTCCGCGGCTGGCGAAATTATGTCGTTTTTTCTGCGGCGGACTTATGACGTTCTCAAACGTCATAAGATCGCGCGAAATTATGTCGTTTAAAAACGGCGGAATTATGTCGGCGGAATTAAGTCGTCACCCCGATATAAACATCATTGGGAGGTAAGCGGGGGAAGGCACTTAAAACTTTACCTAAACATTGTAATGCACAACATTTACGAACTAAATAAGACGCACGTTTTACCACTTTTTTACATAAAACACAACACAGTGCACTGCACTGTTGACAAATTGCAAGTAAGTAAGCACGTCATCGCTCTTTTCATTCCATTATTGGAAAATCCGGTAAGAAATTCACAAAAAACTAGTGTGTCATAAATTTTGGACCTGATTGCCCAAAATTTGGATCGTAATTGATCGTAAAACTGGTTTTCGCTGGAATATCTCAAAATCAATAGGGGGATTCCCTAAACTGTTGAATTGCTGAATTGTTAAAAATTCAACAAAAAATTTCAGCAATTAGGGGAACGACCCAAAATGGTTTCTGTTAAATTTTCAAACAGCTGTTATTTGTTGAAAAATTTCACGGAACTATCTTAAAGCATGTAAAATTTGATTTATTATTGCTAGTTACTGTCTAAAAGTGTTAGCAAGGTAAAAAACCCAAAAATATGTTTTCTAAGTTGATTTTAAAATAAATAATGCGTACTTGTGATACTAAAATGTCACAGAGTTGCCACGACTTTTAAAAAAAGGTGACAACTCTGGCTTTTCAGCAATTCAACAAAATTTTCAACAGCCCCGAGGCTGTTGAATTGCTGAAATTTCTGAAAGTTAACTTTGTATGGAACAGCTGATTAACAGCTGACCAAAATTCAACAATTCAGGAATTCAACAGTTTAGGGAATCCCCCTAATTTTTTGATTTTTGGCCCATGGCAGCTCCTGGGAGTGGTTGGGACAAATAGTCGGACCCAAGCGTCGATCGATGAGACGGCGCATTATCGTGCAACAAACGCCAACCTCCATCTTCGCGATATTCGAGCCGAACACGTCGAATACGGCGCACCAAACGCTTCAAAACTCCAAGGTAGAATACCGCATTAACGTTTTGGGTGGGTGGAACAAATTCTTTGTGGAAAAAACCCTCATGATCATAAAAAAAATAAGCATTGTCTACACCTTTGACTTTTCCAGGCGCGATTCAGCACTCTGGCGTTTCG